CTAATTGCGTTGAAATCGGATGAAAATTGAATAATCTGAGGCAAAAACTGTCTCAGTGTTTCGGGCCAGTTAGCAGTTTTCTTTATTTGTTATTTATGTTTCATTCCTGATTTAGCAATACCGTGGATCAAGCTTGGCAACGTAGTACTGTCAGCGCAGCTCGAAGCACGAAGAAGGAGAGATTGGAGAGAATGAGAAAATGAACAACTAGACTCTCACAGCAGCAGCAACGCTCACCATACGGCCAGAAAGCAGCTCTAAATTAGAATCATTTTCCATTTAAAATTCAATCAGTTTTTGTCAATAAACCAAGTATGTAATTCTCGTTACCATCAGCTAGTCAGTATTTTAACCTCAATGCAACAAGAAACACAGTCCAAAACACTGAGTATCATTCTTGGAAAATTTTCAATGTTCGTTCGATAACTTCAATTTTAAAGCTTCATAGTCTAAGATCTCGACTTAAAGTGACCTTCACTCATCGAGTTTCCTAATGAAACTCAAAATTCAACAAGATAATGTTTTAATAAGGAAACCTTCATATGGTTGACGGCCCATATCCTTGCACGGCTATTTTTTATAAAAAATTATATGTCAATTTTATTTCAATAAGTATTGTAGTTTTAAGACTTTAAATTTGAAAATTGTAGAAGAGAATAGCGCGCGAGAGAAGTACTCTGTGTCTATGCGCTGGAGAAGGAAGCCGAATAGAAGTAAAAGAGCGACTAGACTGACTAGACTAAGCTGGAAGAATTTGGAATAAACCATATTTTATAATGTTTTTATCATTATTTGTATTAGCCAAAAAATCTGACTCGAAAGCCTTGTGTGCAGTGGCGACGCGTGACTTGCAGTCTGGGGGGGGGGGGGGGGGGGGGGGTAAAGGGAAGATGCAACGCCTCGCTAACGCGCCGCAGGCGAATTTTTTTGCCAATTTCAAGGTCATTCACTTTTCCAGAACAATAATTTCCTTTGTGAGGAAAATAAAACCAAAAAAAAATGTATTTTCTTTAATATTATTATGTATTTTCTTTTGGGCATCGTGATTTTTCCCTTGAATTTTGGATCCTGGGGGGGGAGGGTAATTACCCCCATTACCACCCCCCCCCCCCCCCCCCGACGCGACGCCCCTGCTTGTGTGTTCGGCCCTTTTGGTATTTTTCTTATTTATTTTTGTTCCACAAAATGACCTTTATAAAAGTTGTGAATAATTACATTCTGATCAACTTTGCCTCCTTGATTTTTTTTGCTATTTTAACTTAGGCGTTGCGACCAATTCAGTGCTTCAGAATTCGGAAAAAAATAAATAGCAATTAGATTATTGTATTGATAATTAGTGCGGCTTCTACAACTTACACAAAAAAAAATCAAAAAAAAATGTTAATTATAAAAGTTGTAGGGTTTTTGGCTAGAATTATTGATTTTTTTCTTTTGATCGCAAATATACCATATACGTTGATATTTGCTTCAGCTCTTTCGACGCTATTTAAGTTTAACAATGCATTCACATCATATGGTTCCTTATATCAAGTGAGACTTACTTAATGCAATTTTAAACTGGAATTGCGTAAAAATAGCTGAACCAAATTCCCCACTATAGGGACAGTATTGCTATCTCCGGAACGGTTAGAGTTACGAGGGCATTTAAATTAGAAAAAAGTTGCCATTTTTGAAGAATAATAAAAATATATTTTCGTTGTTGCCAAATTTCTATTAGTTTCGCAAATACCGGGTGAATTTTGAAAATTATCAAAAACAACTCATGAAATATTTCAAAATCTAATAATTAAAGGGACATAGCTTACATTCCTCCAAAAATGGCAATTTTTTTCTAATTTAAACGCCCTCGTAACTTCAAACCGTTTCCGAGATAGCAATGCTGTCCCTATGAAATAGTTGGGACCCTGTATTTGGGACCAAAAAACAAATTAATCATTTTAGCTGAAAATATACAGAGTGTTCCATTCAAAAAAAAGCAAGTGTTTGTCATTATGACAGTTAGCACCCGTCATTTGCCCGTTTTGACATGTGCAAAAAATAATATAGGTAAAACCTCGGGTAAAACCATACAACTTTAGTATTTAACATTTTTTGAAAAAAATTGTGTAAGTTGTAGAAGCCGCACTAATAATTATGTATTATGAGTACAATAATCTGCAGGTTTGCTATTTAATTTTTTCCGAATTCTGAACCCTAAAATGGTCGCAGCGACTAAACTAAAAAATTCATAAGGCAAAGAATGATATTATCCATAACTTTTATTGAGATCATTTTGTCGGAAAAAAATAAATATGAAAAAATGCCAATAGGGCCTAACGCACAAGGCACACTACAAAATAAAAATAATGATAAAAAACATTATAAAAAAATGTTAATTCCAAATTCTCCCAGCTTAATCGCTATTTTACTTCTATTCGGCTTCCTTCTTCAGCGCATCGACACACAGTTCTTCTCTGTCGCGCGCTATTCTCTTCTACAATTTTCAAACTTAAAGTCTTGCAAACCATAGGTTCTGTAGGTTTTTCTTTTGGCAACTAAATACCATCGTGTTCGCAGTCTGTTGAAACAAATATACAATTTTAATTTTGTCTAGTTAAGTAAACAAAAAAACCTTACAAAAACTATCACAATCACTAGGAAAAATTCCAAAGTCAGAGAAATTTTCAAAAACCAGGGTTTTTGCTATCCCTCCATTCCAAATTCAAGCTCCATAAAGAATAAATTTGACGTTACCCGAATCTGGGAACTAAAAATAGAATTTTAATGATGAATCTGAAGCTTCTTCTTGAAAAATGGATGTTTAAAATTAAGACTGTACTCTGAAATCTCAAAACGAGCAGGAAATTCTGGCTTTAACGAATAATATGATCAAATCAAATTTTGTACACAAGGTTTGTGGTTTTAGAGGAAATTATGGATGATTTCCCATGATTTTTCCTGATTTCTTCTGATTACCAGTGAGATTGCCCAAAAGTTCCCCTGATAAAATAACCTCAAATTATATTGAAAAACTCTAAATTTCTGAGTTCTCTTTTCAGAAGAATCTACAGTCTTTAAAATTTTGAATTCTCCAATTCTTTAAGATTTCTTGTTGCATTTGTTCAAAAACTCTGAAATGTTTTTATTAATGAATGAGCAATTTACTCATGAAATCTACTCATTAGTTCAATACTCACAGATTTTCAAATTAGAATATTTACTTTACTTAAATCTCTTAATGAATAAATCTGATATTGGAGAGGAATGAAACTTTGTCTTGACACGATACTGAGCAAATTATACAATTTGATGTTTCTTCTACAAAAACACCTACTCAATTAGAAAGTTTGAAATCTCTGTAATTTGACAGCGATCCAGGAAATAGCTAATCACGTGATAATTCAATTTTTGTCACGTTGCCTTTGACAGGAGTCAGTGAGGACTAGTGATGTAATTTTCCGGACTGAAATGTGCCTGACAGTATGAAATAAATTACAGGACGGAAAAAAGAAATTTATAAATAGAACAAAACACCAGTCATTACAATCCCAGAAAGGCGTTGTCGGGCAATTTATTAAATTTAATCGTTCCAATCCTTATTGGGTTACGTGAATAACCTTTTATTAGTGTCCATCATTATTTTGACGAAAGTTAGTCATCAATAAATCCATGAGGCGAATAATTTATTAATTGTTTTAACTATACCAGTAATGAAAGGTTAAATTGCTAGTAGACAATGGATAAAGGGTTTTTCTTGTCAGTGACATACGGTTTACTTGAAAACGATATTAATTATGAGAAAAAATGGAAATAAGTTTGAAAATGGTTTAGCAAATTCACACGTACTTGTTGCAAAATATTTTTTGTTTTGTTTGTCTGGGTTACATAAGAATGACTTAATAATTTGTATTACATATTGTTGATTGACAGTAATAGTGTCTAATTATATCAATTTACATTATTTACCAATATGCTACCACTTTGTTTTATTTTATTGGTAAATTATTATTATGTACTCCAAAAATATTATGATATTTTTCATGACAAAAAAGTATCAATATCCTCCATTTTTATATAAATCTCATTGTCATCAGCGGGATTCACCTTTCCTCTTTCCTAATACAATGGAATTTCTATTATTCATCCAATTCTTCTCGTCACTCGTTCCAAAGCAAAGAGCATTTATTTTTAAAGGACACCATTGCAATGTTTCAAGCGTTAGTAATCCTCAATGTCCTTTTTATCTTGAGAGCGCTCGACATTTATTGTTGAAAAGGTTTTAGTGTCCTATTGGACTGCCAGTAGCCAAAGGGAACAAATTAAATATTAAAGTGAATTTAGTGAGCCTAATCTGTGAAAATACTAAAACTGTTTTTGGTTTTTTGCTTGGATAGGTTAAATCAGGGAAGTGTTTTCGAAATATATATTAACATTTGATATTGATGAGTTTTTTTATGTTGGAAAATTGTAGGTTTGTTAAGCAAAGTCTTTTATGCAAATTTTTAACAAAAATGTCACATAAAGAGTTCTTCTTGGGGAATTTACGTACCTGGCCAGTCAAATTTTTATAGCCTTGTTGTTCAAGCTAAAAATTTTTAGGGAATTAACAAGTATCTTCAAATTATTCTTCTTTGATAACCTAGGTTGACTTTCACTTTTCCAACATAAGGAAATTCAGTTGCCTAGAACTGAGGTACAATAGAATTCAAACATTTCAGATATTTGTTTTTGATTTATCGCATACATATTTCAATTCACAAGAGTCTGGCATCCCTAGTATTCTTTTGTTGCATAAAATACTTCAAGCATCTGTTTAAGATGACTAACCTTAAGCCAGTAGAATGTTGTATTTTCAATGCCACATACTTAAAAGAGTGACATTTTCCAATCATGTGAAAAATTTGCTGTTTTTTTTTTATCCCGCCTCAATCAATATTAACTAAGGTGTATTGCCTTGTAGCAGCGTTTACGTGACACAGGGACTACTTCTTGGTCATGAATTAAAATAACATAACTCTTACACTCTTATGAACACTCCTACAGTAACCGAATTCCTTTCTCCTTTCGTAATAAAACAAATGGCACTCAAACCGTACACCAAAAACTTATTCGAACAGGAAAACTAGTCTCGTTTCGGACGCCAGTGATACCAAATACCGGAAACTATACCGAGGTACAACCAGGAAGGAAACCGTGTGTGGTACCGGAAATCACTACTGGTTATTGGTGCTGCTGCTGGGTACGAAAAAATAAAACAACGACCGCACGAGTCCGCAGCAGATGACTACGACTTTCGAATAAAAGCATTGTGTGTTCGTTGGCACGGTGGTGGTACCCAGAAGAGGTGTGTACTCTAGGCCTCGGGTACCGAAGCGATACAATCGTACGGCGAGATTTGAATAGTAATTCTATACCTTGTACAACCAAGAAAATATTTTCCATTGTTTTCAATTTGCATTTTTTATTCGTCTACTTTGTGTTTGCGGTACTTTCTGGTGGGTTCATATTCAAATTTGGATTTTTCATTCGGCCTGTTCAAGTTTGTTTATAATAGTGGACTGTATCGTTTGCTAGGCCTGGTTCAGCCTCTTCTATCGTTAAAATAAAACAATTCCTTTCGAAAAACTGAATAAACTAAACTTTAATTCTAAAAATTACAAGAAATTGCTAAATTTGTAATGAGAACTCGAAAAGAAATGCGTAAAAAAACGGAGCGCCGCTCGCATGTATGTTCTGCAAAGGGTTCTCGAGTACTGGCTGTTGAGCTAGATCACCGCTGTTCCTGGGACACATTATTGCAGAAGGGCTCGTCGTTCCCCGGCACCGCACTACCTCTTAAAAGTTTTTCCTTTGTTAGATGCCCGGTTGTCAAGTCTTATAAAATTTCTGAACATCTCCCCCCACCTTGAAAGACCGCACTTTCAACACAACCCCAGAAAGCACAGATTAGTTAATGGGTAACGGACATATTTTCGCGAAGGAGCGTTTAATTATACCCTTCTTCGTACGTATCGTGGCTACCCAGGAGACTCCGTCCTTCCCTGGATGTAAAATTTCTATCCTCCCCAATGCCCATTTGCAGGGAGGTAAATTGTCTTCTTTTATCATCACCAAATCGTCAATTTGCAGTTTGGCTTGATTATCACGCCACTTGTTGCGCAGCTGGAGTTCAGAAATGTATTCAACGGACCATCTGGTCCAGAAATGCTGCTGAAGCTTCTGGATGTGTTGGAAATGTGACAGCCTATTGTCGGGAATCTCACGGAAATCAGGATCTGCTACAGCAGTCATCGGTCGTCCAATTAAGAAGTGGGAAGGAGTCAAGGGTGTATAATCTGATGGATCATTTGACATTGGAGACAGAGGACGCGAGTTTAACACTGCCTCAATTTGAACCAACAAGGTGTAAAATTTTTCAAATGTTAATGATGCATTACTTGCAACACGTTTAAGGTGAGATTTAGTGGCCTTAACGCCAGCTTCCCACAGCCCGCCAAAATGTGGTGAATGGGGCGGAATAAAAACCCAGGAGATACCTTCACTCTCTATAGATTCGGTCAAGTTTTTGGCGTTATGTCGCAAAAAGGCACCCAGCTGTTTCAATTCCTGATTTGCACCTAAAAAATTACTTCCATTGTCTGAGTATATTTGAGCAGGCCTTCCGCGACGCGACACAAATCGTTTTAGTGCTGCCAAAAAAGCTTCCGTAGTGAGCTCTGAAACCAACTCAAGATGGATCGCGCGAGTTGTGAAACAAACAAACAAGCAAATATATGCCTTAGTTACTTTATGACCGCGTCCTTGTCTATCTCGTACTAGGAATGGCCCGGCATAGTCAACACCAGTCGTGGAAAAGGTGGCGCAGGATTCACACGCTTGCTTGGTAAATTTCCCATGATGGGATTGATCGGCTTAGGATTTGCCCTGAAACAATCAACGCAATTCCGAAAAACCTTACGAGCTAAGTTACGTCCGCCTAACGGCCAAAATTTATTGCGTATGTTTGCCAGAAGCAGTTGAGGGCCGGCATGAAGTAATAGTTTGTGTTCACGTTCAAAGACTAGTTTGGTAAGATGGTGATTGTACGGCAAAACAATAGGATGCCTTTTAGTGAAATCAAAATTTGAATAGGCTAGCCTGCCTCCTACTCTAATTATGCCGTTTTTATCTAGGAAAGGGTTGAGGTTGGCCAGCTTACTTGATTTTTTTACAAAATTATGTTTGCTTAAGGCATCAATTTCAATCTCGAAACAACTAGCTTGGGTCAACTTGATGAGATATAAAAGAGCATTGTTGGTTTCTGAAAACGTTAAAGGACCTTGACGAGGATCCTGAGGGAGCAAATTTATAGCCTTCAAACAATACTCCTTAAATCTAAAACAATGAGCAATGACGCGCTCTAGTCTACTTAAATTTGAATAATCGCCTATTCTGATGATGGGTTCGACAGATGTTGTAACCTGAGCCTGAATAGTTGGTTTTCGCAATTCTGGTAATTCATCTTTATCCAAAGCGTTGTTTTCGGACGATCGAGGTTGAGGCCAAAAGGTTTCGTCTAACTTCAGCCACTGAGGGCCGAACCAATATATATCTAAACCTGGCAAATTACTTGGTTTCACGCCGCGTGATACATGATCTGCGGGGTTGTCAAGAGTGGGAACGTGCCTCCATTCACTCAGATCTGTAAGTTCTTGTATGGCCGCAACTCGATTGCCTACGAAAACTTGAAGCGCACTTGGAGAAATATTCAACCATCCTAAAACAATGGTAGAATCGCACCAATAGACTGCCCGACTAATATGGATATTTAACGAAATTCTGACCTTGTCCAGCAGTCGTGCAAGAAGCAAGGAAGCTGTGAGTTCTAGCCGAGGAATGGTTTGGATCTTTAGTGGCGAAACCTTTGATTTGGCACAGATAAGTCGAACCATGGTTTCTCCGTAGTTATTTTTTGACTTCGCGTACACGCAGGCGCCATATGCGTGTACCGACGCATCAGAAAACCCGTGTAACTCGACTTGAATCGCGTCCCTACAAATGACTTGTCTATCGATATTAAGTTCATTTAAAACGGTGAGATCGTCGCGAAATTGCAACCATCTGGTGTGTAATGACTGCGGTAAAGAGCTATCCCATCCCAATTTTTCTATCCATATGTCACGTAAAATTATTTTAGCTAATATAATAGTAGCGCTGAGTAGACCCAGTGGATCGAAAACTTGTGCTATATCGGATAACACAGCTCGTTTTGTAACTCGTGTTGAACTGATAGCGATTTTGTAAGACAGCATATCACTTTGACCGCTCCAAAGCAAGCCCAAAGTCTTTGTGTTTTCATTCGCGCCTAAATCAACCAAATCGGTTTGGTCGGTTAAGCTGATATGCTGCAGAATCTCTGAATTATTAGACATCCATTTTCGTAAATGGAAACCTGATTTCTTAAGTATAGAGGAAACGTCATTTGCTATGGTAATAGCGTCTTTTATATTGTCAGCACCAGTTAGCATATCATCAACGTAAAAATCTTCTGAAATGACACGCGAAACGTCCGGAAAATCAATTTTTGCTTCTAAACCAATTTGATGGAGACATCGGATAGCTAAGTAAGAAGCTGATTTCGTACCGTATGTTACAGTTTGCAATTCGTAAATATCGATAGGCTTAGAGCTGTCTTCGCGCCATAAAATTCGCTGCAAATGCGTTTGCTCCGGATTTACCCTACACATCCTGTACATTTTTTCCACATCAGCGGTTATTACGAAATTATGCTTTCGAAAACGTAAAAGAATTGAGACAATATCAGACTGGATAGTAGGTCCGGCCATTTGCAGATCGTTGAAGGAGAGACCACTGGAGGTGGAGCACGACGCGTCAAAAACTACGCGAAGTTTTGTCGTCAAGCTACTTTCCTTGATTACGCCATGGTGAGGCATATAATAGGCATGTTTTGAATGATCGTCAATCTCAACTTTCGACATATGTCCTAGAACTCGATATTCGTTGATAAAATTGAAATATTGATGCTTGAAATTAGCGTTGCGCTCAAATTTACGTTCTAGGGCAAAAAATCGTTTTTTTCGCGGTGTCATAGGAATCGCCCAGTTTTTCGGGATCCTCCAGCATCGGAATAGTGACCACAAACCGTCCGTATGAATCTCGTGTGAATGTTTCTATGAAATGTTTCTCGCAAGCCTTTTCCTCTAGGGACATAGGCTTGACCCCGGAAAATTCCTCAATCTCCCAGAATCGACTAAGCTGCCTATCGATGTTGTCGGCGCTACCAAAATTACAATGAACTACATGAGTTGAAGTTGACTGGATTGCCCCTGAAACGACCCAACCGAACTTAGTTTTTTGTAAATACGGACCGTTTGTAGCCAGCTTTATTTGCCCGACGCTGATAATATCCCAAAACAAATCGGCGCCTATCAGCATATCAATATCAGCCGGGGAGTCAAAATAAGGGTCCGCTAGCTTTATGTTTTCCGGAAACTTAAGACTGTGTGTATCGACCTGGAAATTCGGTAACTTCCCTGTTATCTGTGGTACTATTAAACATGAAATATTAGTGGAAAATTGATTTACTCTTGATTTGACTCGCACGACGCATTTGCCTTTGCATTCCGACTGCGTTTCGTTGATACCAATCACCCTAATATCTATAGATAACTTGCTTAAATTTAGTTTTGATGAAAAATGTTCGGTCAGAAAACTGGCCTGCGAGCCAGCATCCAATAAAGCCCGAGCTGTACGCGGTTTGTTTTTAGAATCAAAAACTGTAATTAGAACTGTTGACAAAAGAACTTGTTGGCCTATAATCTCGTTTCTAGAGGACAAGCTGACTCTTTCTTGTCGAAGCTCTCTATCATTAGGGGTATCAGAAGGGTTTTTGTCATCGAAATGCAAAAGAGTATGATGCTTTGAATTACACCTTTTGCAGGTACCAGAAAAACATTGTCGATACGAATGACCAGCCCTTAAACAATTTAAACACAGGCGTTTCCGTTTCAATTGTTCAATTCGTTCATTCAAGTTTAATTTCAAAAAATCCGCACAAGTTGAAATGTAATGCTCTTTCCCGCAAAAGGTGCATTTCGGTTTTGATGGGTTAGGGTTAGAGGAACCCCGCGCAGAACCATGGTGTTCAGCTAACAATGTCCTAACCCTTTTTTGTTTGTAAGGTTGTGAACTATTGCTCTGCGATTTACTGTGATCTAAAGACTCCAAAAGATCCGCTCTTTCTTTGAGAAATACATTTAAATTATGTAAAGTGGGTGTTTTATAAGAACCCTTTAGTTGTTCCCATTTTCTGAGAGTGACTTCATCTAATTTTGTTGTAATCAAGTAAATTATTAGAGTATCCCACGCTTCTGTTGGCTCGTTTAAAGTCTTTAGAGCCCTGAGATGCTTGGCAACACTGTCGACCATTTTTCGCAAAGCACCTGATGATTCAGTAGAAATTTTATCGATAAGAAAAATGGCCTTAATATGATTTTGTATCAAAATTCTACTATTGTTGAAGCGATCACAAATTAAGGCCCACGCATTGTCATAATTGGAATCACAAATCTCCAAACTAGCGATAGTTTCAAGGACAGTCGGGCCTAAATATGAACGCAGGTAGTGAAACTTCTGAATTCCCGAAAGACTTGAATTTGTATGAATTAAAGAATCGTACGTATCCCTAAACTCAAGCCATTGGCTAAATTCTCCATCAAAAATCTTAATTTCGATCACGGGAAGTTTGACACCGCTCGGGTTGTTAACTGGAAGAGAAATATTCGCATTTTGGCCTGTAACAGAAGCTGGTCTATTACTGGACACAACATGGCTACCACCGACGCCTACGCCACTGATATGGCTGCCGGCAGCGCTCTGCTGACTGCCGCCGACTTGAAATTGGCTACCACTGCTTCTGGCTGGTGAAGCTGATCCATTAGAAATCAGGAACCGTTTCGACCTAGCAACAACGCCGAAAAAAACCTCCTCAAATAACTCTCGCTCAAGATATTGCGCCTCAGGGTCGTCGCTAAGCTGTTCAATTTGACCTTGCAGGTCTTCAAATTGGTCTATGACATTAGAAAATCGTTCGTAACGTTGTTCTACTTCCAAAAACTCGTTTTGATCTGTTACAGTATAATCAGGATAAAGTGTTTCCAATTTTTTTACATATTTTTCAAAAATTGACAGTTTTGCCTTGACAGAACCTCTTTTCCTGATAAGTTGCTCCATTTCGATATTGAATTGAATTGAATTAATAGTTAAATTTTTTCAACGTGGTGCAAGTAATTTATAATTCACGTTCACAAATGAGCAAACCAATCAAAAACCCTGTTAGTTCAATCAAGACGGCGCTAAACGCGCGCATAAGGAATGGAATCAAAGAAAAAATTGGAAAGGACCCACCTCTATTTCTGCAATTTATTTTCTTTTATACTGGCTGCTGTCACATGTCACTTTGTCTCACAATTTATCCGGTTCGAATGGTCCAAAATGTTCAAGTTTGTTTATAATAGTGGACTGTATCGTTTGCTAGGCCTGGTTCAGCCTCTTCTATCGTTAAAATAAAACAATTCCTTTCGAAAAACTGAATAAACTAAACTTTAATTCTAAAAATTACAAGAAATTGCTAAATTTGTAATGAGAACTCGAAAAGAAATGCGTAAAAAAACGGAGCGCCGCTCGCATGTATGTTCTGCAAAGGGTTCTCGAGTACTGGCTGTTGAGCTAGATCACCGCTGTTCCTGGGACACATTATTGCAGAAGGGCTCGTCGTTCCCCGGCACCGCACTACCTCTTAAAAGTTTTTCCTTTGTTAGATGCCCGGTTGTCAAGTCTTATAAAATTTCTGAACACGGCCTGAAAGGGTATTTGATTATGCATATCAACAGATTACAAGGTTTCAAGTTGATACACCACAACGGATACAAAAGTGTTAATGTAACTTGTAGAACTCTATCCAGGGATTATTTTTAAGGACTTTTGGTACTATCAAAGTAGAAAATTTCGAATGTTCATATAGTGTGGAAAGTATCTTGAAAACTTTATACCTTTTAAAAATTATCAAGTAAACATGCCCTTGGTTCTAAAAGCCTGCGATATGAACAAAACCTTATCAGAGTTACATTAATTTTTGATTTCTATTGAACAAGTAGGAATAGGATAGGAACAGCAAAAATTCAAATGCTGGTAGGGTATTTTATTCATAATGAAAAGCTCCCTTTTTCCGTTTTCGCCCTTTCTATTTGAAACTTTTGAACAGTGGCTCTTTGGCAGCTGGAGAATAAAAACCTTCAAAATAAATACAAGGTTAATAATGGCTTTTACAATAGTTTTAGAACTTTTGTCAATAAAACATTTTACGACAAAAACACTAATTAAAACATAACCATCGGCGACAAAATATTTTCCATTGTTTCCAATTTATATAAGTAATTATTCGTCTACTTTGTGTTAGCGCGGTAATTTCTGTGGGTTCGTATTCAAATTTGTATACCCTAGAAAGAGTACTTGATTATGCATAGCATATCACAGAAAGATAAAGCTATAAAAATAAATATTGTTTCTTCATATATTTAGTAATGATAAATAAATTATGTAACGAACCTTTAATATGATATTTCCACTGGTTTCATTAAATAGGTATTAATTTTTACCCAGTTAATTTCCGATTCAATTAAATTACTAAGTATCGTACTTAGAGCGTGAACACTTACCCATAATTCCGGACGGTGATAGTAAAAATTCTTCAATTAGTGTTATATTTACCTGAAAACAAAAATACAAAGTTAAATTCTGAAATACACTGGAATTCAGGGCAATAAAAAAGCTGTTATGGTACTGAGGTACTTTGTTTGAGAGTTTATTTAGCAACTTTTAAAAAAATATGCAAAAATATATTGAAATACCTTTATAAAATCAACAATCAACTGAAGTTATAGTTGCTTTTATATGCCAGCATTCCATGTATTACCTTTATAAAGGCTTAAGAAGGATTGATTGAATTTTGAGACTAGGGTTGGCAAAAATCCAGTTAGATCTATTAGTGGATTCTTGAACAAACCAGAACAATTATGAACATTCAGCAACATTTTAGAAAGCTTTTGTTTATTTAAATCAGTTCATTGTTATTCATCAATTACAAAATATGAAGAAACATGCATGTTTGACACAACTGCATTGATAACATTCACATCTGCCTGCACATGAGACCGAAAAAGCACAATTGAGTAGCAATGGACATCCATGGATTGCATCCAGAAGATCAGTCCAGTAGGGTACCCATTCTTTGGTTCTGTCATTCCATTCCCAACCCCATTCACTGTGAATGTGTGAATAGGAATATCAGGGATTTGAACCCAGAGAAACATCTTCCAAATGAATGCGGTGGTGAGCAGCGCGTATACTGAGATAAAGTATGTTGTGATGGTGGGTGCTATAGATTCTAGGGCCTTCAGTCCTTGGGTAAACATCACCTTCCTTGCATCATTGACCGAATCTGCACCACAGTTTATGCTGAAGCATCAGAATTTTAAAGCGTTCAAGATGAGACATGTGCTGTGATTCTAACGTGAAACTATTCGGTGTATTAATGACGTCAATGAGCGTGTCAGTGACCTCAGGATAAGCAACCCATGCATGCCATGCCGTCTTTTTACCTATTCCAAACATCGACAATGTTACATCATACCCCGTAAATGCATTAAAAAAGATAAAGGTTTCCGAGCGTTTAGGTTCAAGCTGTTGACAGATATAATGGATTAGAATCTCTTTAAAGGTCTTTTCCGATCCAAAACCTATCTATAACTCTGATATATTCAACCGTTTGAAGTGATAGATGGCCAAAACAACTACGTCTGTGTCCACTGTGATTAGGTACGCTTTGGCATGTCCTTGCTCAGCAGCGTGTTGCAAGTGCAACATCATTCTGGTGTCTGCTTCTTCTTGCTGACTTGGAGACATGATTGATATGTCACACGTTCTGTTGCTTAGCACGTGATTATCTTTTGTGGTGAACAGTTGATATGAAGCTCCAGTGGTAAGTTCAACTAATTTCTCGCTGAGAAAGTTAAATAAGTCTTGTTTATTTCACCCATGCTGAACCCTTATAGGCGTTTTCGCAGACACTTTAGTTCGATTCCCTGAAGTGTCACCTCAATTGTCCCGGGTCTGTGATTCAAGACTGCCATCGTGATATGTGTCCCAGACTGCATCTACTTTCGTGGTGTTAAGTTTTGCTTTCGATAAATGGCAGCAGGTACATATTTGTATATTTCCCGAAAACTGTGGCACGGTCTGGTTTTATAATATGAATAACTGCCGGCATATCCAGTACAAGTACTGATGCCTCCTTGGATGATTGAGAGCATCCTGGGACAGGCATACCAGAAGGACACCCAAAAAAAGCGGAATTCGTTCCTGACAATAATTTTTTTCGCATAACATGAAGGTGGGTCACGCTGGTTTATGTGTCTGAAGAAGTCATCTATGTCAGCCTGGGGTCGTGATTGCAAACTTAGAAATAGCTTCGTGATGAGCGCTGCATTTACCTTCGCTGTCCCCAACTTACTGGGCCCCTTGTTAAGATTTGCAGGCGGCCGGTTGCTGAACGTGTATATGGTTGACCTTGGAATTGTGTCAGAAGAATTTTGTACCGCTTTGAATTCTGTCCCTCACAAAGTCCTTATGCATGGTTTCGCCCATCTCCTTAACTTCCTTCAAGCACCTAGCAACAACAGGATCCATGACCTCACCAGTATCCAATGTGACGAGTTCCATAATTGTATCTTTAAGGGCCGATGCCTTTGCTCTCGATTAACGAATTTGATATGCTGTCAAAGTTTTGCATGGATCAAGGTCTATGAGTATGGTTTGGTTGGAGTGCATTCAAAGCCCTGATTATTTTTAACGACTGTCAAATAGGAGCAAAAGTACCGGCACTAAATGGATTAACAATTGTTCTATTCTGTACTACATTAGGAAGGACTTTCAGGAGTTTAAGAAATTTTGTCTGTTCGGCAGTAGAAGATTCCTGATATTCCTGATTATTTAGGAATGAATGATTCAAATTACGTTCAAAATATCATCTATAGCCTCAGCATCTCAGGTTTTGAAATCTCGATGACTTCCTTCTCTTTTTTCTGACCATATTTGACCCTTGAGAGAACTATTTTTCACTACGTTGAACGACAAACTGCCCTTTCATAAATGCTTTGTGGATACTTGGATGAGTATATTATAAACGTGACATGTCATTCAAAAAAACTGGGAGCCAGCGTGAATAGTTTGTGTGCTCAAAGACGAAAAGCCATGAGCAGTTCTTCGCAGGAAGTCACAAAAAATAGCCAATTACCAACTCGCTAACCTCTAACGAAACGGCAAATCAGCAGCAGAAAGTCTCTAGCAGTTACCCAGTAATGGCTAATGCACAGGATTCATGTGGATCAGATACTTTTTGATGGTACTCTTTGTATTTTTCAACTTCTAGGGACGAGTAGCCAAATAGCCACGTAAGAGTAAGTTAGTAAGCATACCTAGTATGCTTCACATGCTTTCCACCAAGAAGAGACACTCCGATTCTAAAGGTGAATACTTTTGCTATGGAAAACATGCGATCCCATTCTGATCCAGCTAACATCATTCCGAAGCATTCTTGCGAAGCCATCTCGACATGTAGCAAACCCATAAAGCATACCAACTTGGATTCACCAACCTCATCTCGATAAACCCACTGACACTTTTCCTGCAAGGCGTACAGACGGCACTAATAGGAATTTGGTCAGGATTCATAAATTCTTTCGCCTTCATAGCAATATCACAGAAAAGCAATATGCATAAAATGTTTCTGCATGGCCATCATTGCCGACTTCTCGTATAATAAAGGAAACACTCCAACAGTTGATATTGGTTTAACATTTTTCAAATTTTGACCATGAGAGAAAAAACCGAAATATTTCACTGGAGTTTCTTGCAAATGTCCATTATTTTCTTTCACAACCGTGTTCACATGCTGTAACCAATGTCGTTCTACCATCCATAATCCATCATTTTTCTCAATACCTGAGATAATTGAATCATTATTAATACTCGATATAAAGACGTTTCCAGCATATTCATCAAAAAAAGGTGCAATAGTGTAGCTGTCAGGCAGCGCAACAGGGAAAGTTTCAGAAACGTCCAGGATGAGTGGTGGAGGATCCTCCCTAATGTTATCATAGGTGTGATGACTGGTTAGCAACATGGCAGTTCCATGAAGTTCATAACGACCCCATCGATGTTGTCTTGATGTTTGTGGGCACAATGACTCCATCCTCTTGCCACCACTTGTGAAAGCTGCTTCCTAACTTCCATGATACGATCATATGAAACCGAAATTCCCAAAGTATATACCTAATGTTCGAATATTTTGTTTCTCTGTCATTTAATTGGAATGAAGCCTCATTTCCAAGTAGAGAGGAAAGGGTGTTTCTCTGTCCTTTCATTGACACAGAGTGATGGCCTGACTGGATTGGTTCGTTGATCAGCTGAGAAATGGTGCACGCTACTTTAATTCTGGCACTTATGTTTGCCTGCTCATCGTCTGTAATAGTTTCTGCTATGGTGCTTGACCCTTGGAAGATGACATTTATCAGGGTTAAAAGGGGCTTTGCGACAGGTTCACTTAGACAAACTGAGCTAAATGAACCATTGAAAGGTATTTGTTTTGTTATCGGCTTCATCTTCCGTAACATGAGTTACTAGATTTTCAAAGATTTTACCTTATCCAACTAGAGCTTAATCTTAAGCTAGCACACATGCACGTAATTTTTTTTAAAAATAGAGGTAATTTTTTTTTCTACGTACTAAATTAGCACTAAATAGGCCCGAATTTAGTACTCTAGTTTTTTTGATGTGTGCCATTTTCGTTGTGCTAATTTTTGAGATATTTTACAAGCTTTTATATTGCTCAAGTTTCGTAAACAAAAACTGCTGCTTTCTTTTCGATTTCAATTTTTAAAATTTTCTAGCAGTATTTAAACTGTTAATTTTTACACAAATTTTGCATTGCATTTGGGTTAATACATCTAGAAAATTGCTCACTTACTTAAAATTTCTCTTAAATCTTCTGACCTATTTGGCCGAGTTCAAATATGGTAAAATTGTCACCATTTTCCTTATTTCAGAACAAATAAATTTTCTGGCCGAATTCAAGGATCCCGATTTTTATAAATAGGTTTAACAGAGGAGTTAATTTCCA